TTAAAATGTCAAAAAACGGTTAAAAGTGTTTTATTGTTTTGTTGTGAACTACAGATTTCCAAAAAAGTTTAAACATTTTAGAAAATCAATGAAATTTGTTTACCACAGTGGAGCTAATCTGGCCAAGTCATTTTGCGAATTTCAATTTTTACGAATTTTCTGTTTTTTATTTCGCTTAATGTTATTTTTTAAAAATTTTTGCAAAAAATTACAAAGCGGTCAAATGACATTTAAGCAAAAATTTATTAAATAGTTAATTAATATTTTTATAAATAACAATATTTTACCAGGCATCTAGATTGGAACTATTTAAGGATTTAGTTTGTTGGCTTATTACAACAGATAATTTAAATGAGTCCTTAAAAATGATAAACGACACTTCGTTTAGTATAGCAACAGAGTTTACCATATTATTATCTAAAGAAAATCAAATACACCTGTATGATATTTATAATCGTTGTAAATACCGTAGTGGTATTTTAAATGTTACCTTTGCTGGTACATGGAGTGAAACCTCTGGTTTAAAAATGTTATTACCAAAAAGTAAAATAAGTAGAAGATGGAATTTTCATCAAATGAAGTTGAAATTATCAGGAATCGTAAGTACATTATACTATATACTAACAAAAAATTTTTTATCCGGCGAACTGTAATTGTCATATATTTCTTATACGTATTTTAAGTCCCTGAATCCGAAGTCATCATTCTAAAGTTGGTTCGCTAGTTTTCCTAACCTCAAAAAACCAATATGCATCCAATATGCAGGGTAATTTTAAAAATTTAATTGAAAAACTTGATACTCGGGAGTTTTCATGATTGCTGATTACAAATCTATAGTGAATGTTTTTAAAAATTTAAACTGTCAGGTCAAACTGGCGCAAGACTTGTCTCGTGCAGGGTATATAAGTATCCGTCCCCTGAACAGACCCTTCACAATATTATCTTAAATCATAATGTTAACAGTTGACGTCTGCTACGACGCGACGTTAACAATTTTTTATTATTATCCACTTATCCCCAGATAATAGTTTACAACTCTAATTCTTTGGAAAAATTAATAACATTTTTATTATACACTCAATAACATATGTGCTGTCCTTCCGGTTTGGACAACTCTTTAAAAAGTGGTGTGCCTTCTATAAGAATTTTTTAAGTCAATGGCTTTAGTCTGTGGTTTAAGTCCATAGACTTAAAACATTCTTATAGAAGGCACACCACTTTTCAAAAAGTTGTCCAAACCGGAAGGACAGCATATATGTTATTGAGTGTACATAGCCTTACCATTACAGCTTACCTCATTCTTTACTTGATATCTTAATATTGACCATTACTTGTAATCTTACCATAAGGCGGAAATTTCAAGTTCACCTTATGTCTACTACACAAGTATACCGCCGTAAGCTTACAAGCCTTATGTTTAATCCACACCACAAACATACAGTAATACATTGTGTATATAGTTATTGTTTAAATCTTATCTTTAGTGGCTGCATAATTTCCAACCTTGTCTGTTCTACTGTCCAGAACATTTTTTGCTTTTGCCTTTGATGGCAGGAACATTGTATACTCTTGCCTTTATTAGGGTGCGATCCCATGGAAGCAGAATGAGAGATAGGTAGATATTGAACTTTTCACTCTCATGATATTCTGCTTTTGGTCGGCGTATTCTGCTCACATGGGATCGAACTTTTACTGTACGGATTCTTTTCTACTCTTGCTTTAGTTACAGCGTACATTTCATTATTTGCTACAAGTTCACTGGGCGTCGATTACGTAACTATCTCCGATTCCACATCCAGCATTCCGATTTCACGCATCCAACATTTCGAGTACAATGATATCGAAAAGTTAAATCGAAATGTTGGATGTGGATTCCGAGAGAAAGTTATGTAATCCACTTGCTAGAGATTCGCAAAGGAAAGTTTCGAGAATAACGCCTTGCGGACTCCCTGCGAAATGTTGGGGAAATCTGGGAAGCATAGCAGGTACTTGGTTCAAGCCCATTTGGCCTGGTATTTTTCCGTCACGTGAGATACTCTGAGCGGGAGGTTTAATGATTTAACATCGAGGTATAATGATGTGAACCGTCAATTATTTATTGTCTGGTGCACACCATTAGAACTCGACTGTCGATAAACCGGTTGTAGTCGGAAAGGTTTTCTACAATTTCCTTCTTCACTAGCGAAAAAACCCATTAGACAGGTGGTCCAGAAAATGCAAGTATTCCTAATTTTCAAGTCGTTCTGTAGGCGCAAAATTTAGTATTAAGAACACTTAAAAATTTCAAAATATTTAAGTATAAATTATATTTCAATACGGGCATAAATATGGTTGTATTTACTATTTCAATTACACCACCCTACTGAGGTTCGTATTTAGGGTCGTATTTAAGATTATATTTATGCCCGTATTTACGGTCATTTTTTCAGTAGGGACTTTACCTGTAATAACACAAAAGAATTTATTTTTTGTTGAGGTTAAGCATATTCCTCTTCATACGAATCTAGCTGATTATTTACAAGATTATACAACAAAATCATTAGACAGTAAGGAAAAATTTTCTTACGCTTTGTGGTTGCATGTGTCGCATATGTTTAATTTTACGTAAGTATAATAATATGATTCTCCTCATAGCGCACAATTTGAAAATTATTATTTGAAGAGAGATATTTATGAAAGACATTCTTTATTGGACTGTATTTCAATTTATAAAAATTTCTATAAGTATAGGAAAATATAAAAGTATAGACTTTGTTTAGATTTCTTTTAGTTTACTTTTCAGGAAAATGTATGCTTGTGAGAAAATATTGCAGTTATATAATTTTTAATGAATTTTTTACTTTAATTTTTGAAAATCTAAGATAACAAATTATAAAAATATCCAACATGTCACATATGTTTTCTATAAAACAAACAACTTGTAACGATGGGCTATGTATTAAAATTAGAGCTGTGCGAAATAATTCGAACCGAACTGTTCGAATTTTCTCGCCTAGTTCGAATGTCGAAAATTCGACATTCGAGTTAGCTTAGTTCGAATTTCGGTTTTTCGACATTCGAACTAGCCCAGTTCGGATGTCGAATATTCGACATTCGAGTTACTACAAAATTCGAACCGAACCGAGTTGTGTTTGGTTTTAGTACGCTAAAATGTCGAATTCTAAAATTCGACATTTCAGTTGCCCAGTTCGAATGTCAAATATTCGAAATTTGAAATTTCGGCGCCCCAAAACCGAACAAAACTCGGTTCGGTTCGAATTTTGCACTGCTCTAATTAATATATAGAGAAATAGAATTCGTCACACACACAGCCATCGTAGTCGCGTTCAGCGTGAGCTCTTAGGTCGAACGAACTTTCTTTTACCGTTTAATTAATTTCCTTTCCTCGCAATTCATATTCACTCGTTACTGCATACGGCAAGGATTTCGGCAGCATCCGGAATTTGAATTGCCCCCTATGTGCTACTTGGTTAATTCTTAAAAGTGCGCGCGCGCGACATTAGCATCGTCGGACTCGCGTAACGTGGAAACCTATTCTAGAACTGTCTCGCGAATACGAATCAAATCCCTGCATCGGAAATGGAAACTGAAGCGCGCAAATGTTAAGTTACTTTTCATACTATTTTATGTTTCACTATTTTTATATTTATACTTATTGTTTTCTCTTAATTTTAATATCTGTAAAATATTTTCTTTTGATTACAATATATTTACTTTCGAAGGTTTAAATTTGGACTCGTTACTGACTATACCTCTTCTCCAATTCAAAGCAGAAATCATAATTACATTGTGCTCAACCTAATATTCAGTAATAAATAATTAAAGAAACTACGATAGGTACCCGGACTCCATCCGGCGAGCGAATTCCGTAGCAAATAAAAAATCATATCATTACAAACTAGTTACATTTTAAGTCAAATAAAGTTTAATAGTATGAGTTTAGTGAAAAAAATCAAGTAGCTAATAAATTTATTAAAGAATTAGTTCTTCTGCGTCATGGTATAATCAATGTGTCATTGTTGTTTATTGTAAAAAGGAAAATTATATTATTATTTTGTCCGCAGCCCACCACGAATATTTTGTTCTTGAGTACAGTCAGGTCTCGCTAAGTGTCGTCACTGGGAATCTTTTGGGACCGTCTGTCTCAGTAAGTGTCAGTGGCCTAAGCCAAGCCCCTTTAATAAAAGTGGTCATTTCATTGGTTTATGTTGCAAACCGGTTTTGGGTAGTCCATTTTTAGCATTGGAGAGGGTAAAAAAAAGTGGGGAAAGTGACACTTGTCGGGTCTTGAACGATGACACTTTGTGAGTCATGACACTTACTGAAAACGACACTTGGCGAGACCTGACTGTATTACACTTTAAAATTCTATAGACTTTTACTTAATTTGAAAAAATATCAATAATAGTAAAATCCAAATTGTGCGCTACGCGGAGAATCACACATGTTATATGTATTATGTCTAAAAATCTGAAATCAGCATTAAAATGCATTAATGCTTTCCTTCCGGTTTAAAACTGCGATTTAAAAAGTAGTGAGACACATTTGTAAAAATGTTGTTTCATAAGTGTGTCACGCATTTCTTAAATGCCGCGCCGCGTCTAACCTGAAGGAGAGTATATGTATATCCCACATGCACAAAAATGGCGTTTTCTGATAGCAGACAACAGGGAGGAAAGTCATTCATTTCTTCGACCGAATGAAAATAACGTCCGTGTTCTCCCATGGGCAAGAAAATCAGCTGTTCCCATGCGTTTTTCTTGTCCATGGGAGAAAACGGCCGCCATTTTCATATAAGTCGAACAAGTGAATGACTTTTACTCCCTGTCGTCTGCTATCTGAAGTCGACACTTTTGTGCATTAGGAATAAAAATATAGTAAGTAATACGAGAATAAAGGCAGCCAATTTCTTTACGATGATTTTTGTGACACTCGTTTCGGTCTTGGGGCGCCCTTGACCTCCACTCGTGTCACAAAAGACACCGTAAAGAAAATGGCTGCTTTTATCCTCTTGTTGCTTAATATACTATTCTTTAGAATTGAGGTGGAAAAAATATCTGATTGGAAAGTTGATGATATGAGTACTCCATTATTAATGGGACTTTTAAAAAAGGAATTTGACATATCTATGACACCAGATGCCGTGACTTTAAGAACACTCAATTTTGCTTTACCTTGCACAACTCCATGGCCTTTCAGGTTATTGTATATCTACTACGTCTTATTAATATTATTTGTAGAAAAAATGGATTTGAATTTGATATTGTTTATTTTATGAAGATTAACACGAATCTCAAGTCTATTCTATCAAGTTAAAAATTTATTTTAATGTCTCTCTAATTTGCAAAGCCCATTTCCTCTTAAATTTATTATGCTTTATAATCTGAAAAAATTAAAACTTTGTTTAGATCTTGCTTCATCTTTCGAAACCCTGATTCAAAGGAAATTAAAGTAAACCAATTCTTTCGACCATTTTCACTGCAGTGTTGGGTTTTTTCATTACTTTTAACTATTCTTTGTACTATTGCAATTGCTATATTCTTAAAGAAACAGGATTACAAAAACACTGTGGAACATTATTCAATTTCTATTCTTTTAACTTTTGGAGCTGTTTGTCAACAAGGTACTTATTAAGACCTTTTAGCCATGAGGGGATAAACTTTCAAACGAAAGAGTGATTTGCAATTGGCAACGATAAGTTGCAAGGCAATTCTATTTTTATAAAAGCACGTAAACACATAAGCTTTCCGCCAGAAGGCGCTTTGGTCACCATGAGTGGGAGGAGGGCGGTCAAAGATGCAAATTTTTGTGAAAAAAATAAGGTGCAAGACTGAATTTTGGTATGAAGGTAGATATTGTCTGTACACATCACATGAAATTATTGCCAAAAGTCCAAGTGTGCAATTTAACCTTGCCAAAAGTCGATAAAGTCACAAAAAATTGATAAAATTGCAGTGATAATGTGTATTTCTAGCAACTTGATTTTTCTGATTGTCAATGTCTTTAAAAAGCTGAATACCAATAATAAAAATGGTTGCAAAGTTATTATAAACTGTGAATAAATATAAAAAGTAAAATTTTTTACATTGGTTTGGTCGTTTTTACTGTCCATTGTAAAATAAGATATTAGATTTTCAAAAATAAAAGCAGCGGACCTGATATGAATTTGAAACCATTTTTTAGAGTTGTGGTTGCACTCAATTGGCAAGTGTATTTCTGCTAAGGGAATTGGAATAGTTTTAAATTATTAATTTTCTGTTGTTTAGAATACAATAAAACAATATTTCTTAATATTTGAAAGGGCATAGTTGGATCTTTAGCAAGCTTATATATGTTTACGTGTTAAGAAGGAAGGATTTTATTAACAAAAGAATTTCCTTGCAACTTATCATTGCCAATTTTCGTAGCTAGCTCTTAGACTATATATAGCTTGTAAATCATTGACTTTTGAAAATGTAATATATAACTGTATCATAGTTGTAGTATATTTTTTAATCGTGTCAAAAACTTTATTTATTCAGGGTCTGCTGTTTGTCCAGATAATTTAAATGGAAGGATAGGTTTTTTTGCAATTATGATATTCAGCTTACTAATTTTTAACTATTATTCAGCCAGCATAGTATCAGTCCGTTTAAATGAACAAATATTAAAAATGAATGATTCTTTATACTCACTCGCTAAAAGTGATTTAAAAGTTGCCACTGAACCTCTTACGTATTTTAATTCATTTATTCACGTAAGTATGTACTAAATATTTTTTCTAATTTAATTAACAGCGCTTACTAAAAAAAACGTACATTGTAAGGAAAAGTTTGTATGAAAATAAAATGCTATATTGTATAATAATAAAATGTAAAGAGCCCTATGATAGGAGAATATTGGGAGTCAGAGGGGAAAAAACCATCATCATCATCATCATCATCATATTAATGAAAAAGCAATGAGCATAACACGCTCGCTTGACCGGTTGTCCCCTTGTATCGAACTATATACTATTTTTTTACTGGGGACTGTGCGTAGCGCCTAGAAGGGTTGATTGAATCTATTAGAATTGCCATTATTTCAAAGTGTCATTTGTTCGATGGTACATCATTAGGATCTGTCACTTTTGCGAATTGTTATTTACACAAACACTCCTTTTTTCGAAATGTCACATTTCCGAATTTTAATTTATATGCGAACTGTTATTTTTACGAATCGTTATTGTTCCACTTTTGCGTGCTACAGAAATATATTAATATTTTATTAGAATATATCTATAGCTAAACAAAATTCATTTTTAAAACTTTTGTATCCTCAAGAGGGCTCTGTCGTGGTTAAAAAAAGTTTGTAAAATGTCTTGTTCTCGGTAGCCAAGACAGTGCTCTTTGAGGTTAATTGAAATCTCTAGTGGGGACGCAAAAAAGCCGGGTTTTAACTGGTTTGAGCAGCTGAGGCGGTATTTTATTCAGCGGAATATGGATGATTATTGGCATCCGGAAGATTTACTTTCGCTGGGGAACAACGCGGTTAAGATACTCCTAGGATATTTAAAGGGTTTAGTAAAAAGGGATTTGAATTCTCGTGCCCGCTCTGAGAGTCTCCAGGTATGACCCCATATCCCCTTGCACATATCGCTTCAGCCGTATTTTAGGAGAAGACTTGACCTAAAATGGATGAGGGCTTATGCCCAAATTCGTATGACTAACAAATACTACTCATATTTTGTCTTTAACCAGACCAGTTTTAAACTCCCAACGTCAACAAATTGCACACATTGTGAAGAACATCATGAAGACTTTCATTATTTTCTAGTGGAATATCCTTTTTATTATGAATCAATTAAATTAGAAAGCTTTTTTTGAAATTCAGTCATTGGATGACCATGAGTTGTTCTGGAGAGACATTCTATCAACTTCCAATATTGCAACATTAAGGAAATTTATTATTATGATCCAAAGAATGTTAAAAATTCGCGTACCAGGGTGTTGACGAGGAGTCGAATTTTTGTATTATTTTGTTTGTGTGAATTGGGTGTTCTGTTTTTTTTCCTTTCGAGTTTAAATTATATAATTGTAATCTTTATTTGTTGATATATTTGAATTTTTATTTTCTTGTTACCTATCGAAATGATGTGTACTATAATTTTATGTTTTATTTCGCTTTTTAGGGTTCCGTACACCTACGGTGTATCGGCGGAACCCTATTGGTGAGACTCTGTTGTCCGTAGCCAAATCGTGTCCCCCCCCCCCTAGCGGCTAAACTATTTGACCTAAAGAGCTCAAATTTGGTCCAGATATGTATTTTCACACGTATATTAAAGGAAAAATATAGCGAATGTGATTGGACGTGATGGGCATAGCGTTGTCAAGGAAATAACAAGATTTTTGGCCAAAAATGCTTAAAAAGTGACCATTCCCCCCCCTTAACTTCTAAACTATTCGACATGGAGAGCTGAAATTTTGCATGCTGGTGTATTTTTACTCGAATATTACAGGAAAAATATAGAGAACTTGATATGTAATGATGGCCATAGCGTTGTCAAGGAAAAACTAAAAAATTTAAAAAAAAAAAATTTTTTTTCCTAACTTTTACATTATTTGACCTAATAAGCTGAAAATTAGTATCCTAGTGTATTATTACAGTCTGACGACAAAAAATTTATTTAAGAAATTTTTTGAAAAAAAATCAAAAAAAAATTTTTTTTTAATTTTTTTTTTCAAAAAAAAAAATTTTTTTTAATTTTTTTTAGTTTAAACACGTGGCATTAAATATTTTAAGGAAGAGAGTGAAATTTTAAGAGAATAAATAAGAGATTGTTTTCTGACTTTAATTTCTTAACTAAAAATAAAAAAAATTGGACAAGTGCGAGTTGTACTCGCACTGCAATGGCGGGTTCCGCACACAAATATTAAAACAATACTTGCAACATTGATCGGTAATTAGTAGAATTAAAATAAACAATTATAAAAATATATTAAAATCATTTGATAAAAAAAAATAACTAAAAAAAATTAAAGTATTGTATATCTAATATTATAAACAATAATAAGCAGAGGAACTATAATAAATTTTGAAAATTTTGTTCCTCTGCTTATTATTGTTTACAATATTAGATATATACAATACTTTAATTTTTTTTAGTTATTTTTTTTATCAAATGATTTTAATATATTTTTATAATTGTTTATTTTAATTCTACCAATTACCGATCTATGTTGCAAGTATTGTTTTAATATTTGTGTGCGGAACCCGCCATTGCAGTGCGAGTACAACTCGCACTTGTCCAATTTTGTATGTACATAATAATTTTCGAGTTTATCAGGTATATGTACTGATAAGATCCAATAAAGAATTAATAATATTAAAATCAGACGTTACTTCAATTATTATATAAAATAAATTAAGCAAAACAAGCTGTCCTTAGGGACTACTGGGAGCAAATGCCTAAGAACTCTTGGGCATGCATATATTAATACAGTGAGTTCTCGCGAGTCGTTTAATTCTCGAAAATTTTTAAGATCATAAAACTCACGAGTCGTTCAAAGCATAAGCCACGCCTTCAAGGCGATTTCAGGGATGTGTGAAGCATATTTGTGTCACGCTCCGAAGAAAGGTACCTTTTTGAGAAAAAGTTAAGAATTTTCTTGGGTTCTGTAAGATTAGTCTGATATCGAAAAGTAATAATGGGAATAATTTTCAATTAATTCACTGGGAATTTTAAGGTTAAAATACACAAAATAATTTATTGAGAATTGATTGAGTAAAGTATAATGTGCACAAAGCTGGTTGAAAATTACCTTCTTGTCTTTTAAATTGAGTTTGTAAAACAAGTCTAAGCGGTGGCCTTGCCGGCAAGTGCACGCTTTCGTTTTCTGTAAGGAAAATCTAATTTGCTGAGAGAAAGCCTTGATATTAAGAACTTGAGAACACTTCAAAGAGACAACAGAATGTTTTACACTTTAAATTTACTGAATTTTATAAAGAATAAATAACTTAAAAAATAAATATCAAGAGCTGACCAAAATTATGGTTAACTGTAATTATATCTGTGTGAGAGTGTATAGAGGTAAGAACATCGTTGCGCAAGGCAATTGATGAACACTAAGAGATGCTGCCCTCGCGCGGTCACTTTGGTCGTAAATCAAAATCACACGCACAACACTAAAATGACTTTATTTTCATAAAAACCGAACAGCAAAAAATGTCAGGTTATGTTTTTCATTTTTTAAGTAAAAATACAGAAAAATAATCAAATATTAATTAAAAATTATTGATCTTCAAGTCTTCATTATATCCAAAATATTGAATAAAAATTGGTTTCAAATTCAAATAATTAAAAATAAACTTTTAATCAAGATAAATCTAACACAAACCTAACCTATAACTAGCTTGCTTCTAAGGTACCTTTCTTGGGAGCGCGTCAAATTTATTGCCCTGAAAGAAGGATACTATCGACACTATGTAATGGCTTTGGTCCGTTTAAATTATACAGCACTGAGCACTGACGCGCGAATATTAGAAATTGAACGACTCGTGAATCGGACACTGATTAGCTGTTGAACGACTCGCGAGAACTCACTGTAATTCCAAATAATTTAATTTGCATATGATGCTTTATTGTAGAAAAAAGAGTGGGAAAATAAAATTTTTTACGAAATGAAATGGTTAAATACGCCAGAATCCGAAAAATATTTATCACCTGATGAGGGAATTAAAAAAGTCTTGGAAGGAAGTTTAGCCTATCATACTGATACTGAAAATGGATATCCGCTAATTGAAAAAATTTTTGATAATAAAGAAATTTGTGACTTGACAGAAATTCATCTAATAACACCTACAGATTTTACTCTAAATGTTAAAAAATATAGTCCATTTTATGAAATTGCTAAAATTGGGTGAGTATTTCCTTTATTTTATTTAACTGCAACGATTCATCAATTTTTTAAATATTCAATAAAAAAATATCGTGAATTTGAGGAGCAAGTTTTCAAAACTTCATAAATCCATTTTTCTTTATTTTGAGAAATCAAGTTTACGAAAAACTAATTATAGTATCTATTTCTCTGTTGTAGGATGGCAAAGCTTTATGATATGGGGATTCGTCAGCGTCAATTTAAAAGGTGGTCTGCCAGAAAACCTCTTTGTCGTACAGAAATTTTAGGTCTTAAGAGTATTACTGTATATGAGACGGGTGCTGTTGTAGTTATGTTATTGTTGGGCATCATGTTAGGATTTGCAATATATATAATGGAAAATGTTATTTTTCATTTTGAAAATCTATTGATAATTATATTATTTATTACAAATAAGTGTTCACAAGCAGTGAAAAATATATTTTGTTCAATAAAAGCAGAGAAGAAAGAGTCGTAAACAATAATATACTCAATCAAAATTATAAATATTTAGAAGGCTACTCAATTTTAATATGTACACTAAAGATATGATTATCAAGAGGCGCATGCCCCCACAGCACCGAAACTTTCCTAAAAATTTATTAAATATTTACTTGCAATATTCGTCATATTTAACTGAAAAGTTTAGTGAAAATTGTGTAAAGATTTAAATGTCCCGATTAATAATTTCAAAATTATCAAAGAACTCAGAAAAAAACGGTAGCATGGTGGGATACGAGCCCACGACCTTTCTATTGCCGGTAGACTGCTCTGACCACTGAGCTACATGCACCCCGAGACTCTCCGAGTTCCTTGAAATATACTAAATATACTATTGAAGCCCATGAGCTTATCGAGATTTATTTAAGATATTTAATTTATTTGTGTAGATTGATTCGGGAAAATTGTTAACTTCTTTCAAATTTAATTAATAATTATTATTAATATTTTTGTAGTAAATAAACTTTTATGAGTGTCATTAAAAATGTAAATAATTATTAGAATTGCTTTTATTGAACTAAGTTTTTAAAAAGAATATTTTTCTTATTTTCTTTCATTAATTTAGACAGACAATCTTATTTAAATTAATGCCTAATTTATTATTATTATTGTTAATAATTATTTAAACCTATACTTTATGTAACATTATTAAGAATTATACACAAAACACTTAAAACTAAGAGGGAAAAATATCGCACGCACGGGGGATCGAACCCTAGACCTCGAGGACGCAAGTCGAATACACATACCGCATAGCCACGCAAGCTTGGAAGCGACCTCGCTTAAACTTCCTTTTGAATCATGGGACCGTTATATATACAGTGTTATCATAATAAATTGACTGTATCATATTTATTTATAGAAAAATTATTAAAAATGTATGTTATATATATATAAATTAATATGTTTATCTTAATAATATGGTAAAAATTATTAATTTAATTATTTATTCTCTATTATTTATAATTTTACTATTTATTTTTATTTATTTTTTTAAAATAATAAAAAAAATTTTATTATTAATAATTCACAATAATACTAAAAATTATTAATTAATAATAATTTATTTTTTTGCCTTAAACATGGAATGTCAATTTAAGTGTGAAAAATAATTGGTGCGTTTGTCCTATTGTTTTAAATTAAAGGAGAATAAATTCTTAAGACATCCCTCGAGGCCAATTTTTGAGTTTTTAATTGTTTATAATTTTTATTTTCAAATTTCAATCAAAGTTAACAAATTAACACAATTTTTTAAAAACGGACGTTTATTTTCTTATTCCGTTACTGCACATGCTCTAAATCAGTTCAAATTAATCCAATATTACCAGCAGACAATTAAAAACCCATAAAGTAATATATTTCAATTGTCATAAACAACATTAATTAACAAATAGTTAACTTTGATTCCTCTCCAATAAAAAATATTTTTTTCACATTTTCTTTTTAATTTTAGTTCATTTGAAGAATATTTTTCCTTTATGATTAAAAAATAACTTATTTAAATTGTTATAAACAATATTAATTAACAAATAGTTAACTTATGATCCTGTCCAACAAAAAATTTTTGTTACAAATTTTCTTTTTTACTTAGGTTCTTTTAAAGAATATATGTCTTTTTTGCTTATAATATAACTTATTTAAATATTTAATATTATATATCCGTGGTCTTTTAACATTATCTAAATTAAAAAAGTAAACGTGAAAAAAAAAATTTTTGGTGGGAAGGAACAAAATTTAACTATTTGTTAATTAATATTATTTGTAACCATTTAAATAAGTTATTTTTTAAACAAAAAGGACACTTTTTTTTTAAAATGAACTTAAATTAAAAAGTAGACGTGAAAAAAAATTTTTTTGGTGGACAGGAACATAAGTTATATAACTATTTGTTAATTAATATTGTTTATAACAATTTAAATAAGTTATTTTATAATCAAAAAAGACAAATATTCTTTAAATGAACCTAAATTAAAAAGAAAAGGTGAAAAAAACATTTTTTAGTGGAAAGAAATCAAAGTTAACTATTTGTTAATTAATATTGCTTATAACAATTTATATAAATTACTTTCTGTTTTATTAATTGTGTGGTGGTCATATTGTATTAATTTGAACATGTATATCAAGTTAGCAGTGCAACTTCACAAAATTCAAAAATAAACAATACTATAATTTGCCGTTAATTAATCGCTTGTCGAATTTAAATTAATTGTGTCCGGGAAAAAATCGTATGATTATTTTCAACTTAACATTAGATAATATCAAGTTAAGCCAACCTCCTATCTCAATTTTTTATATTTGTTTTCATTTTTATAAATTCCACACTTTCGCCACTAGTTGTGCAATGTACTATTGTACCAAATGATCAAAATATTAGTGTACGGAACCCGCTATTTCAGTGCAAGTGAAATTCGCACTTGCCCAGTTTTTTTTAAATGCCGTCTAACATAAAAATAAACAATTATGAAAAGATAAAAATTACTTCGGAGGCGAGGGAATATTAATTTAGTTAAAATTTCTAAAATTTTTGTAAGATCCTGGAAAAAAATTTCAAATATAGTGTTTTTCCTACCTTGGATCCTCTTGCAATTTTTTTAATCACTTCATACATTAAAATTTACAATTATCAAAAGAAAAAATTGTTTCTAAGGCATGAAAATGATAATTTAATTGAATAAACAATTTAACTTAATACCGAGATTTTTTAAAAAATCATAACTATTATAAATGGTACAATATAAATTAAATTTATCAATCTTTTTCTGTGAAAGTCAGGTGGCAGATTGCACCCGTAGTAATTTCTTAAATCATTAATGCGCGCATAGAATTTTACTAGTAAATTGAATAAGTTAATAAAATATCTCTGAATATCTATAATATATTTAAAATATAAGTAAATAACGTAAATATTTTTTCCCATTGACTATAAACGTTGTAAAAATAATCTCAGGGCATTCTAGCGATATTTTTATTATATCCCTAGGATATCCTGTGAATATCCTCTAGATATACCAAGGACAGCCATAAGATATCCCTACACTGTAAAAAATTTATGGAGTTAACGGACTCGGGAGTTGGGAGTGAAATTTTTGAGTTAAAAATCAACTCCAGAAGAGAGTTAATTTACTAACTTCTACTAACTCCCTTTATCAACACCTGCCGGAGTTATTTTTTCCTTGGGGAGTTAGCATTTGGGTGTGAAGTTTTAACTCTCTTTATTTAACTCCCCAATGGGTTGCGACTTTTATAGAATCCCCTGGGGAGTTAAAATTTAACTCCCTTTTTTACAGTGTAGGATAACCTGATGATATCCCACGGAATTCCTAGGGAAAACCCCCCCAAAATATCCTACAAAGCGGCGGTTTGTATATCCCAGAGATAACCTACGGATATTCTAGGATATCATGTGGACTTTCTCGGGATATCTTACATTTATACAGGACATCCTGAGGATATCCTAAAGATATCCTTTTGTTGTAAGGGTTGTTGCTTGTTATTTTAACACCAAATTCGTTATTAAAATAACCTTTCTATTTTCTTTGCATTGCAAGTCATTTAAATAACACCTTTTTAACTCTGCACCCAGAAAAAATTTGTTTAAAACAAAGAAAAATTGTTTTTTTAAAATCCCTTTTTAAATTGAAGATGAAATTTGTTTTAATAAAAAAAAAATCTTCCTTGCTTTTGCAAAAAAGTTTTTAAATGTTTTTAATAGAGGTGTAGTGCAAAATTCGAATCGAAAGTAAATTCGAATCGAAATACGAATTCGAAGTTTCGAATTTCGAATTGGCCGATTCGAATCGAAAGAAAATTCGAATCGAAATACCAATTCGAAGTTTCGAATTTCGAATTGGCCGATTCGAATCGAAATACGAATTCGAAGTTTCGAATTGGCCGATTCGAATCGAAAGTAAATTCGAATCGAACTAGCCAATTCGAAAATCGGAGTTTCGAATTGTACAACTCAACTCGGTTAATTTATTCGCACAATTATTTTGACAGAAATCCTAACCTAAAATTAGTAGGCTGATATTCATAATACAGCTATCTATAGTACTTTGAAACTTTTTCTTAAAAATTGTCTATATATTTTTTATTAATTCTATAATTTTAATATATAAACAACATACAAATACCAATAATTTTTAATATTGGGGGGGCAAACCGGACCGTTTGCAAAATTTTTTAAAGTTAACACAGCAACTTAACAATAAAAGATAAGGTATATGTGTCTCTGGGAAAAAGTTGCGCAATTAAATGATCATTCAAACAAGCCATCGAAAAGTGAAATCAGTTGATTCGTTTGGTCACAAGAGTCAAAAAACCGTTAGGGGGTCCGGTTTGCCCCACTCTACCCTATTAATTATTTTTAAGAAATAATCTTCTAAAAATTGAAAATTAAAGATTTTTAAATTCAAAAGTTAATAAACTAAAATAAATAAAAAATAAGTATAAACCAACTATTTACTACTTTTTTTACGTTATGGTACTATATATTTAAGTACTTTTTTTAGATTTCAGCAACTCGAAGCTACTATTTTTTTTTTTGAGAATTTGCACTACTTCAAATTCGCTAATACAAGAAATAAAAATATATTTTAATAAAATTTCGCAAAGAAATTCAATTATTCAGAAAAAATTGATAAAATTTATCCAAAATTTAATTATTTTCATAAATAATAAAATTTCTCCATTTTAAACATTTTAATAAAATTCTTCTTAGGAATTCAATTTTTTTTAAATTTTAATAAAATTCTTTACTATTACTATTTCTTTTCTAATACTATTTTAATTGAAATTTTGAAAAGAATTTAATTATTGTCCGAATTTTAATAAAAGGCTTCGCAGTAATTCAATTATTATTCAACTCATTAACAAAATTTCTGCAAGGCATTTAATTATTGTTATAAATTTGAATAAAATTTTTTTAAAAATTCAATTATTTTCATGAATGATAAAATACTTTACAGAAATTCAATATTTGTGTTGTTACTTAAAATAATAAAATCCTTTGCAGAAAATAAAATATTCTCGTATAAATAACATTTTTACAGGGAATCAATTATTTTTATAAAAAATAAAATTCTTTTAGGAATTCAATTATTTTCATAAATAATAAAACTCATTGCAGAATTTCAATTATTTTTTATAAAATTTTAATCGTATTTCTCGAAAAATGTCACTATTCTC